GCTCATTTCTCGGAGGCAAAATGAGCAAGAACGCTCATTTGTACATCATTCTAGAGAGAAATAAATGGCCTTTTTAGAAAGTGAACCATCGATAAGCATATGTTGGCAGTTTTCTCAAAAAATGCTTGAATTCAAGAAGTTTTAGATTTGCGTGGTTTGAGTTGCAAAATCCACTTGAACATGACGCTGCTTTTTTCGAAGTTTCTCAAGAACCATTCGAGCCACAGAATTCGTTTTGGCATCGTTGGATAGAGAATTGAATGGGGGAGGAAGGGGCTATGACCCCTAAAATAATGCGCCTTCCTCAAGAAACACCTTGTACATTATAACAAATATAAAATGTGTATTGAATAGAGATGTTGATTGATAAAGTCGTTCAATTGCACTCGGAGAGTGGGCACAGTGTTTCTGCAACACCCAGTATATGCCGCTAATCGGGTAATGTTGCGTCGTTTCCGACTGGTTTAGGTGCAGTTACCCCGCAAAAAACCGCACTAGATGTGGTTTTTTCCTAGAAAAGCAACCATCTTTGGCAACTGAGTTTGCTTCCTCATTTCTCCGGCTCACGGAAGGACCGGCAAATCGCGCATCGCGTATAACCGGCGACATCGTGTTCCAAACCCGACGCAATTTTGTGTTCTGTTGTGTTTCAGTGCAAACTCACTGCGATATTGAATCGACCCGCGGCCGTGTTGTGCGTCGTGTTTTGCTTTATGTGCGTGTAGCTCCTGGGTTTTTCGCCCATTTCACCCATTGGATTTGGGCGGTTTTTCCAACCGACTGCTCCTCTAGATCCCCTATAGGAGGCTCTATCTTCAGGTAGGGTTGTCATGCCAATATCGCACGTTTTCGCGCGTCGAACACCTACTTCGCATAGAGCAATTTTCCACTTGCAGTGAGAGCGGGCTTCAATTCGCCCTGATCTTTTGCCCACTCTATTGAATGAAAAAAAATCACCAATTTTGGGTTGAAATCCTAATCTTCTGCCACATTTTGCTCAACATTTCCGCGTGCAGACGCATCTGGGAATAATAAATATAATACAGGCCTCATCCCCTAAAACACCCCAAGAACCCAGCGTGCTTCTAGCAGCTTTCAGAGCTTGCCAACTAATTTCATCCAACGAGGGGAGATTTATCTCAATCAGACGTTCGAAACTCTGCAGAGTGAGCCGGATTCTGTCACAATTTCAATTGATCGAAAAACGGAGGCACGCAAATAAATGGCCTGCTGCTGAAAATTCGCCGAATCGGCCGAAATCATCTCATCGGCTTCTTCGCACATCATTTATTCACGCATGTGAATGCAGTGAGACCCAAACAGTCGCGTTCCTAAGGTTTCATTGGCTAAATAGTTCGCGCTTCACTCCTGATTTCGAAAGGAAAATCGATGTTTTAGTCTTCAAATCCAGTTAACCCAACACGCACTTTGCTAATAAGATTTTCGAATGCAAAAACAAGTTTAAAACGCTCCAAATTCAGCATAGACCTACAGAGTCAATCGTGTTTCAATATTTTTTGCGTAGCTGAAATCAGTTGCGATAAACAGTTTGCAGATTCATCGGGAACCACCGCGATCGAAGCAAATATTTTCGAGATGGGAAAAGTTCCGATTTTCCGTCAGCATCAGGCATAAAAATGGATTACCAAATTTGCCTATTTCTTTTCTCGGCAACTGGGAACTTTACACAGTCACTTTTACCTGCGTTTTGTTGGGCAAACACTGTTCTACAAGTTCTACAAGAAAAGTTTCGCAATTATGTCATCATCAGGCGATTTTAGGGGATTTTTCAAAGTTAAATTCGGTCCTCGTTTGTACCGCTGTACTCAGGAAACAGTTAATACTAAGACCGACGTCTCTCAGCATTTCATGGGGCAAAATCTCTTCGCTAAGCTGCATAAGTTTCATCATCGGGGAGATTAATAGAATTTTTTTAATTTGCGTTCGATTAAAGTAGGCCCTTTTCAACACCGAACGCGACTCAATTTTCGTAACACGTACAGTAAAGTCCACTTATAGTGATCTTTCGGTTAAAACGAACTTTTTTCCTTTAATTGAAACGTCGTCCATAAGGAGCAACATATTTTTTTACTGGTTATAACGAACTTCCACGCTCAGCAACACCAATCTTGCGGAGTTGTTTATATTAGTGAGAGCGAAAAACAGGCAGTGACTTGTTGTTTTTTGTCGCGTTATGTATGTAAATCGTTTTAGAATGGAAATCCAAAAACGCAAAGCTTTTTCACTCAATGAAAAGTGCGAGATTATTAACAAAATAAAAAGTGGAGTAAAGCAGAGTGACATTTCTAAGGAATTAGCACTTGGAAAGTCTACTGTTGCAACAATATGGAAAAACAGAGAAAATATTTTATCAGCGTATGACAAAACAAATATTAGATGTAGGAAGTTAAAATTATCTGCACATGAATAGGTTGACAAGGGACTTATTAAGTGGTTTACTGAAAAAGACAAGAGAACGTTCTCATAAGTGGCAGTGTTTTGCAAGAAAACGCTAGTGAAATGAGGAGTAAAATCAAAAACAAAGAGTTTGCTTGTTCTAAAAGCTGGGAAGAGCGTTTCAAGAAGAGGCATAATATCAGTAGCGGAAAAATTGTTCGAGAGTCTGCCGGTGAAAAATCCTTCTTATGAAAACGTTAGAGGCGATCGATAAAATTTAAACATTTTCTGTAAATCTCTTAGATGCAGTCAATTTAATTCATAGAGCTTGGCAAAAAGTTAGCCGAAAAACCATTGCAAATTGCTTTAAGCATGGGGGATTTGTAAGAAAAGAAAATGATTATGAACCAGA